GAATTAGCCTTTAAATAAATTAAAAAAAAAAAAAAAAAAAAAAAAAAAACACGCTGAAACACCGACGGATGCCATTTGTAGACGCCCTTTGCCCTCTGTGCATGCCACACATGCCCCTCGCTTACCTATGATGGTAGTCGCTCTTACAAAGCACAACTCCTATCAAAGGAGAGGTCACGAGGTCAGCTACTCAATAGCCCAGATCGTATGGGACAATCTGGTGCCGGTACAGCAAGTACCGCATGCGTGGGACCAAGCTCCCGCAGAGGAACAGCAGGCACAACGGCAGATGATGTCGTCGCCCACCCCGTTCCGCAGATGGTACCTCAGCATTGATCGAAGCAGTGTTGTGTGTTTTTTTTGGTTTCCAACGAGTCGGCGCTGGCTCTGGGACAATCTGGTGCCGGTACAGCAGGTACTGCATGCGCGCGTGGGACCAAGCTCCCATAGAGGAAGAGCAGGCACAACAGGAGATGATGTCGCCGCCCACCCCCCGTTCCACAGATGGTACCTCAACAACATTCATCGTAGCAGTGTTGTGTTTTTTTTTTGCTGTCCAACGAGTCGGTGCTGGCTCTGCTTCTGTGTTTGGGCTATTGAATAGCTGGCCCCGTGACCTCTCCTTTGATAGGAGTTGTGCCTCGTAAGAGTGATTACCATCATAAGTAAGAGAGGGGCATGTGTGGCATGCATAGAGGGCATATATGGCATGGCATGCATGGAGGAACAGCAGGCGAAACAGCAGATGATGTCGGCGCCCACCCCCGTTCGACAGATAGTACCTCGGCAGAACTGATCGTAGTAGTATTGCGTTTTTTCCAACGAGTCGCTGCTGGTCACTCGGGGCTTGTCAGCTAAAATGTTCCTTTGAACCTTCTCCATCACAACCTTCTGAGGGGGGGGTTCTCTCAAGTCCTCGTCCAAATACTCGTTATTCACCTACTCTGATGAACTCCTGCCCTCTGTACGAACAGGTTAAGAGGAGAACAATGACACCAATTATATCCTGATCAGGAATCTTGTCCGGATTCGGTGCATCAGCCTGAAACACAAAGCGATAGCTTCCCTCATTCACGAGCACGCTCTCAAGAACCTGGTCGTACTGCTCGTCTTCCGCCGAGCCAACGTAGATAAGCTTCCATTCCAGGTCGCTTGGCAAAGGTAAGTAGCATTCGTAAGCTATCTCGAACTGAAAAGGATTTAAAAACAGTGTCGGGTTGTCGAGGACCGATACGTTGGTCACATTGATGACACTCATGCTGGAAGATCGGAGTAGAGTAGCTTCCTTGATTGAAGACCAAACTCTCGACAGAAGTCTAAGGAACGGGAGTAGAGTAGCTTCCTTGATTGAAGACCAAACTCTCGACAGAAGTGAAGTCCAAGGAAAATTTTGATGTCCGACAAGGAATATTTAAGCAGTAATTCAGTTGAAGTTATAAATGACACTCGACACAACCCCCGGATGAACCCGCAGGCTCTCAGCTCACTCAGCAAGGAAAGCAGACGTCAGCAATCCACTTTGGGAACAACAAAATTTGTTCTTCATGTACCAAACCTTCCTCATTTGTTCTTCAGCACCAAACCTTCCTCCTTTCTCTCCCCCTCTCGCAGGGATTCAAAACATCAACGTCACCGCATGACGGAGCTTGAAGGCGACGACGCATCACAATGGACGAATCTTGATGACAGTGCCGCCAAGGAGCTTCGATAACGATGGCTTTGTGTGCGTG